TAACAGTAGCGTAGTTTGACACGCGGCCAGAGACTTTTGTCCCTCCTGACACGCCGTACAGGACGACCAACAAACGTGCACGGAGACCTCCTTTCTTAGAACGGTTTGAACGCACGTGAGGTGGGAAAAGGCTGCACCAGTCCGTCAACTTCACTCGGTTTTTAATATTGTTGCTGCAGGTTTAAAATCTCCGACAGTTCGTGTTGAGCTTACGGCTAATACAGGCGAGGAGGTACAATCAAAACAAACACAAAAACAGGTAGCCGATAAGCTAGTGAGCCTCCAAACTCCCGGTTTTAGTTCTGTATCTGAAAGCGCTCTGGAAACATGTCAGCCGTGCAAAACGAATCCAGGAAACGGAGCAAGAAGCGCTTTATGGTCGGCCACCACAGCAAGCGGTGGAAGGGCTCCCGGGAGCTGGAGGTGGGCATGCAGGGGATCCTCATCACATGCAACATGAACGAGAGAAAGTGCACGGCGGAGGCCTTGAATCTGCTCGGTGAATACGCAGACAAGCTCTATGGTCTCGAGCAGGTAAGTTTACATTGTTTACATTATTGGATCAAAGGCCTCCGACGAGCAGTGTTTGGGGCTAATATGTTGGATGGTTTGAGTTAATCTAGGATTTAGCTTGCTCTGTTAATGGAGTAAGGGGAAAGCAACGATCTCATACAAGCTATAATGAATATATGAAGCACAAATGGCTGGTTTCGGTGTTTCCACATGTGATTGCTTCTTTTCTCATGTTTTACGTTACTGGAAATGCTTTTGTGTTCCACATGCGTAAAACAAGAAGCACACATGTTGCCTTTCGTATCACTTGTACTCTTTTGTGTGTTTTTAATGCTCTACATATACCATTCAGTAATTTTCTATGCTTATTATTCTCTTAGTGTAGTTCATTGATTTAACCTGTGTCAAGGGAACATACAAAGTAAGAATGGCATTGCCCAGCGTAACCTCTGTGTTTTGCAGTGTGCATATATGACAAAAAAGTTGACTTGATTCTTGCTCACAGCTTCAGGAAAATACGGGGAGCAGCAGTGAAGAAGAGGAGGCTGAAGAAGAAGATGTTGATGTTGCCCTGAAGAAAGAAGTGGCCCAGCTGCGAGCATCGGAAACTAAACAGGAGAGGCGCTTCCAGGCGCTCGACAGCGGAGCAAACAACGTGATCTTCATCAGAACTCAGAACATCGGTAAAGCTTTTTGTAGCTGATGCGAGTCTGTCTTTCAGTGTTTTGTTTGGGCTTTTTTTTTCTGATTTTTGTTTTATTTTGTTTTTCCGTAGAGTCTGATAAACTGGTTCATCATATCCTGTCAGATCTCCATACTACAAAGAAGAAAAAGTCACGTGTCATCCTTCGAATGTTGCCAGTAAGTAGCTTAGTTGCGAGTCTCGATGTGCATGTGCGTTTGAACTGATGCAGGATAGAGAGATGCCGCCGTACTGTAAGTCGAGGGGTTGTTGAATCATCTGAGCATTCACATGACTGAAGCTGTAAAACAGTGCTTTTAAAATTAGCCATTATTTGATATTGATGCATTACGACAACAACAGTAAAACTCTTGGGTTTGTTTGTTTTTTTTCTTCTTTCAGGTAACTGGAACCTGCAAAGCTTTTCAGGAAGACATGGTGAAATATCTGACCACTTTCCTGGAGCCTTGGTTCAAAACTCCAAGCTGTGCTACCTACCAGATTGCGTTCAAGGCTCGCAACAGCAACCACAACAAGCGAGACGAAATCATCAAATCTATCGCAGGTAGGCTCGTTCATTTTCCATGTTTTTCATGGCTGCCGGTGCCCGTGCTAAAGGAAACTGACTCCTTTCGAATCCAACTGTCTTACAGGCCTTGTGGGGAAGATGAACCCTAAGAACAAAGTGGATTTGACAAACCCTGAACTGACAATCATTGTGGAGGTCATCAAGACAGTGTGTTGCCTCAGTGTGGTAAAAGACTATACGCTGTACAGAAAGTACAACGTTCAGGAAGTGGTGAAAGACGACATATCGAAGCCTGACGTGACCACAGCAAAAGCAGACGCAGACACAAGCGATCAGACGGAGAAACCCGATGCGGGAGAGACTGACAGAAGAGAGACGAAGGGCGAAGAAGACAAGGGCACGAGTGTTTCAGAGAAGGGGGAGGGTGAAGGTGGGGGGGAGTGAAAGCTCACACTGAAGAAAACCGTTGAGGAAATACCGTTTAATTTGCTTTGTAGTGCCGTGCTTTTGTTTTAAATGGACTGATTTGTCAACATCACGAACTCCGTAAACATCACAAACGATTCTAATATAATTTAATATTTGGGGTTTTTTTTAATATTCATGGTGATATCTGGCACCCATTATCACCTTTATTGAGTTGTACATTTCAAATGGGAGAATTTTTTAATTGATTTTACAAACTATTTGTAGCTGCTCACAGTTTTTGGTTTGTCTTTTTGTTTGTTTGTTCTTTTAAATGGTGAATTTGACTTTTAATTTCAGTGTGTTTTTATTACTCGCTTAAAAATGGACTTTTCTTCAAGTTAACAGGTATCACTCCAAGTACCTGTTACTGTTGTGTAACTTGTTTCCTATATTCGTCCCTGCTGCCTGTGTGTTTAACTGGTTCCTCACGTATTCTTTACTTAGTTCGTGGTGCTCTCTGTTCTGCTCATTGGCACAATAAACAGAACGAAGTGGAGGAGAGTGAGCAGGTTAGACATGGCATACATATAAACTCTGTATGGTGTGTTACACTTAGAAAGTGTAGATACTTCTTTGGCAGTTCTTTTGTACTCCACAAGATGGAGATAAAACATCATTTTCCAGAGTACTGACTGTTACGTGATAATTGTGCTACCCTCTAAATGGATATTTGTAGC